TTCCTATCAACTTTCAGTTCAATCGGCCCAGCAGAACTTGACTTTAAGTTTGAAATGTAAAATGTTAACGGACGACGGACGACGGACGACGGACGACGACGGACGAAAACGGATAGCAATAGGTCACTTGAGCTAAAGCTCAGGTGACCTAAAAATGCATTGATTAAAGATGGTTTAATTTCCTTTTGTTAAACTGAAGTGTTGCATTATAAAGTGTTGTATGATAGTCTAGAAATGATTAGAGTGTGTATGGCATAGTCAATATCAGAGAATAACAAACCTATAATCACAAACAAAATATTAATGTTTGTATACTTAATAATCATAACATTGTCCATCACAAAAAAAATACAACAATAACAAAAATTGCATACATAAAATCTACCCACACAGCCACACCTGAACAATCTACAAACAAGTGCCATCCAATAACATTCGGATTGAAAATCAGCGCAGGATATAGTATACGAGACCTTTAAAAACAATTACCCTCAAGAAGGACACTATTAAAAAGCACATTGGAAAATACCATTCATTTGTGGAAATGTTGCAAAAACAAATTACAAAACTTGACCAGTGGTGAACAATTAAGAAGAGATCCTCAGTTTTGAACTTTTACTAATTTCATCACGCTACCTAGCTTGCTGTCTAACACTTTCTGTGAGACAGTCACCCCAATTAAATACTACAAGCCGATATATTTTCTCCCGATAAATTGTTGCCCTAGAATTTTCCAGAAGTGTTTTTGTCTGCATTAATTATCCTTTGTGTCCCATTGAAGCCCAAGATATAAAAGAATATTAATTTTATTATTCCTGTTCTAAATCAATCCTCTTGTTTTAGAGAGGAAAAGAGAAGCATTTCCACCAACACAACCTACATATTTTGTCAGACATATCAACCATTATACTATCACACCTTAACGTAAATATAAACATCATTCATTTTTCCGTTGCTCTGGCTGTTGGATACACTGGTCAATATTAACAAAGAAAAGGTGAAAAAAAGTCTGGTTATGTTAATTAGTTTGAAATAGTATGTAGTAAGTGACTTTAACAGTCATCTAAATGGCAGATATATTATATCTATATACAATTATATACAAAAGAAATGATGATGACACTAACCAAGTGATAACAGCACACAATTCCTAATGAGACTTGTCAGTATTCCCTTAATGTAATTAAAAGCACCATCAAAGCAAAATGTATTTATTCCCATTGTCATTGTTCAGAAATATTTTATAAAAAGTTATTTTCTACAGATATATTGCACTTAAAACATATCTTGTAATGCATTTTTAAAAATACTAGCAATTTAATTGTTCAAAATTTTAGAAAAACAGAATATATATATTTTGAATTTAAAAAAAACACATTTTTCATATTTTGAAAGAAGTTTCAGTTGTCAAACTTGCAACCCACCGACTTCTGTTCCCACACATTCCCATTTTTTTTGTCCAGTTATAACAGATTACCAGTAAAAATAAAAGATAACTACCTTGCCATGGAGAGTAATTCTAACTAAGAAATTGTCCTTTTTGTTGTCAAATCTTCTATATATACAAGGGAGAATACTCCAGCACTGAAGTGGAACTCTTCTTTGTGTATAGGAGTCTTTTTGTTACCTTAATTTTGTAATTACTTTAAAAATATACAAAAATAGTACAAATTAATATATAACAATTGTTTCTAAATTAAGTTTTTAATTCATGTATCATATGAAAAATGTATCACTCTTTTCTTTTATATAGAGTCGATCAAAACACTCAAGTTTTTTTTAGTAATTTAATTAGGATATGATTAGAATTACTATCGCTAGCTAGATATATATATCCAAAACTATTGATGTGTTATTTAAAATCTTGATAGTCTAGCCTTGCCTATATTGATGTTAAACTATGTCATTTGTCAAAAAATTCTGTAAAGTGGATTTGTTTGTGGATGCCAATTTTCCAGTTTTCAGTCTTCAAACAATTTATGGTGTGTAAATGATTATCTTGGCAATGCAACAAAAATAAAAAATTCAGAATGTGTTGATGTGTTCGCACATGCGTTCAAGTATTGTAATGTTGGTTTAATAACCACAAGTATTAACGGAAAATTTCAACAACACAAAACTCCTCACTGTTTACTGTGTATGATTTTGATACAGAGCGTATTATCATAATGTAGGATTAATAGAGAGAATACAGACTTGATATTATTGTAACTATGTTTGTACACCAAATGAACCATAGTCATAAAAATACATGTTTTTCGTTTCTAAATAAAATAAAAAATTAAGTGAGCTTGGTCTCAGCCTTGACCTTTCATATACATTTCTAAGAATATTCTGTCAAACTTTCACTGGTCCAACCTTGATTTAGTAATTAAGCACTACTCACAGACAGCCGATATTGAACGATTTTTTGACAATAAAAACTTAATCTCTTGGTGTGTTAGTACAATTGATTGTCAGATAAAATGCTGTTTTCTTAACAGAACACTCCAGAAATAAATAAAAGAAACTATGTCAGGTACATGTTTCAGCAACTGTATTCTAAATCCTTTCAGTCACGTCTTATTTTCTAATAGAACCTAAAAATGTTGCACAGCATACTAAACAGAGGGAAATTATTGCCACATTTTAACTTTGGTGCTTTTTTTCGCCCTTATAAATGAGGACAAAATCATAATTACTAAGAACATAAGGAAACAAAATAAAACATATAGTAATCAAATATGAAGCGTTAAATAACATGTAATACCCAGAAACTATGTATTTTACCGGTGAAAGGTGAAAGTTTGACTTGGCGAAAAGTTTCACAGGTTTACAATATTTCCCTGATCAGATTTTGTGACATAAATGATTAACAAAAATTGCACAATATGTGAAAATTAACTGTTTTCAATGTGAGACTAATAGTTACATCACCACAATCATAGCTTTCCTCTATATACAGTAACTGTACACAGAACTATTATACCCTGAAATGATGGACCATTCTTAATCCTAGCTCCAAAACAATGGAAACAGTATTTTCAAGATAATAAAAATTTAGAAACAAAGAAACCAGTATTCCTTACATAAAAGTGTTAGGACTTATTGGGCCCTCCTGACTATATATTATAGTTAATTCTGTTTACTATCATGTGTCGATCATTTACCATAAGAAAATGTGATATCATACGAAATTTGATATGAAGTGAAATATGATATAAAGAGAAATGGGATATTAACAGAAATGTGACATTAACAGAAAGGCGATTTTCCAGAGTTCAAATGCTAAAAATTAATACTCTCTTGTCATAACATACAAAGCTGGGACATCTCTTTAACAGGTACTTAGTGTATTGTTTATAACCAAACTAATGTGTGAACCTGCTGGGCAGTTAACATGAGAAGTTACCGTTGTTTTTGTATATCCACTTTACTTTGTTTTGGAATTTATAGGACAACTGTCAGAACAACATGATATAAAGAGAAGTTCCTGTTGATTCACATAATATATAGCAAACCTTTGTACATACAATATATAAAAGGAAAATAATGCTTTCGTGAAAAAAAATGATAATAACCGAAGTGTGACATTAAACAGTGTGATATTAAGTGAAATCCTCTGTATTTTTACATAACATGAAATAGATGTACATATATGCCTTGATTTACCACTGACACAAAATCCCACTTTACAGAACCATTTGTCTTGGATACATGAATGTATGGAAACTTTGGTTTAAAGAAATAATTCATAGGTCTCTTATATGCATATACATGTACATAAATGTAACTAAAACTTATGTTGAAAATATGATGTCTTTCTGATGGTATTTAATTTTATATCTTAAATCACAAACCAGTTTTCGCTAGCAGAGTCAGATCTGAACCAAGATCCCCCGAGGGGGAATTCAAACCAAACGCAAAATAAAAGCTGCTGTTTCTTGAACATCAAACTTAATTTCAAAACAAAAAACTACGCAATTTACAAGAGTTTTATTTTTTTTCAAATGGACACTCGTTCTGAAGAAAATCATAACCCCGATAAGATCTAAAAGCTATGTAATTCGTGCATCACCAACTTCAAACTTATTTTCAAAACAAACTAAAACTGCGCAAATTACACGAGTGTTTACGGTAATACAGGTGGGCATACTACCTGGTATGATCAGCCTGCTTCATTAAGCTTTTCAGGTGAATATGAAAGACTGTCTTTGTGACATCATCATTGTATGCCATTTATATATATACTAGACACAATACAAATTTGACAGGAAGTTCATATTCTAAACCTTGAAATCAAGATGCACTAGTGTATGAGATATATTGTGTTTGTTAATGGAATAAATTACAAAACAATCGATGGAGGAAGACAATTTGATGAGGCGTGCCCTGTCCTACAACATACGACATGAAATATCTGTCACAAGTTAGAACCTACATATACCACATATATTCTGTAAATCACCCACTTTGTATAAATATTGACTTTCATCGAGGGTTAGGTTGTTGTTATATCTCTTACAGTGTCGGCGAAACAGTCTAACTTAAAATATTTTGAACTAATTGTGGGACAATCAGGAAAACTTTGAAACATCAAGACTTTGACTCGTGTTTGCTGAATTTTGAACATCTTTGAGATCCTTTATATATTGGTACTGCATAACATGAATGTGATTGTTAACCCTAGGCCTTTCACCACTGTAGACCATAATGGACTCATCCCCATAAATGCATGGTATAGTCTACTATATATAGTTACCTAAGGTTGAAAGGTTTAAGATCTAAATACTGGAACATTACTTTGTATCCAATAATGCAAGTATGTGGTGCTATTGGATACCCTATGAGTGTGCTTTTAGACAACTAAGTGTACGTATACATCTGCTCATAAAGAAAACTATCCACATTATAAATGAAGGTGTGGAGTTTTGCTTAACCCTTTCACCACTGTAGACTTCAATGGACTGATCCATATCAATGCATGGTAGAGTCTACGAAAGTTACATAGGAGTGAAAGGGTTAAGCTTCATTTCCTGAACTTCAACAAATTTCTTTTAAAAAATAATAAAAAAAATCTAATTTAACATCACAGATTTCTCAAAACCCGAGTCAAATTGTAATGGCCAACACGACAATGCTGTTAACAAAAAACCTTCATCACATGATCATAGCATCAGAGACTAACAAATAACTTTGAACTTAATGAAGTTTTAACCTAGTCATTTGATCAGTTAATAAAACCAATGAGTCCCATCCATGTATTATGATATGTTGTGATGCATACTGTATGTGTGTTACCAAGTAATCGAACATGTTCGAGCAATGCGGAGTTCCAGAAAACCGGGCCAGAAAACATCACACAGGTATGAAATACATTTGCATATTTTAAACTTTAAAGATTGACCAATTCAAATTTTTGTTTAAAGTCTACACCAGTTTCTGCCACTGTTGTATGATTGAAGATCAATTAACCACAGATTACAAGCTTTTTAAAACACAGAATAGGTCTCCCGCATACATTGGCGTGCAGTCACGACACATCGCTAGCTTCCGTCATCCCGATCTTGCTGTGGGTTTTTTAGCGCACCAATTGTCTGTGTGACTGAGGTCACATCATTTATAATCATCTGGGCTATCTTTAATGCCATATCTTCTTGTTCCTGCAAGAAAACAGCATTGATTAATCACGGTCATAGAAGAAATTTGATAAAATTTTGCAGGCTTGGTAAAAAAAAAAAAATCGAAAATATGGTATATTGATAACAGTATGAACAATTCTAAAGATATCATGGTAACCTCTCGAAAATATTTCTTTTGTAAGATCATTAGAGATACATTTCCATTAATTACCTTCCGAACAAGATTATTTCCAGTTATAGCTATCCAAGATATCAAATTAAGGACAAAATCAGAATTATATCTGAAATGTCCTTATTAAACGTTTATTACCTTTTCTTTTGCTTTCTTTCTCTTAAAGAGTCCAGATGCTGAAATAGGAAAATAACATTAACACAAACTAAAATCCAGGTATCTTTAAATTTGTCAAAACTTGCGTATATTTTGTATTTACATACTTAATTCACATTGGATATCCAACAAGTAATTTGAAAGACAGGGAGAATTTAATATCCACAAGGGCTCCTTCAAACCTGATATATCTTAAGAGTCATAAAATTGAATAATAATGATAATAATAATTGGAGTATACCGCTTTATCACAACCTAGTTCGTAGGTTGTCTCAAAGCGGTTCACAAATTATTATCCATGGTTATAGGGCCTTTGCAACCAGCCAATATTTTTCTCAACTCCCTGGGGAGCATACACCCGCAACCATTTCAGTGCTCACAACTAGCATTCAACAATTCTAGTACTGCCTAACCACGTACTCATTTACAGCTAAGTAGACTGGAACAAGCTGAGTACAGTATCTTGCTGAAAAATTGAACACAGTGCCGTGCCGTGACTCGAACACGCGCCCGGCGTCCTACCATGCCACTAGACTACCGTGCCTCCTTAAAACATTGAACATTGATTTGCTTAAGGAAAAAAAGAATAACAATAGAAGCTCAAGATTGGTTTAGTTTGGTTTAGTATTGTTTAACGTCCTATCAACAGCTATGGTCATTTAAGGACTTCCCACCCTTCATAATACACATGTTTTTCTTGGCGTGTTTTCGTGTCGTCATTTCCATATTGCGTATAGGGCATTCCATTACGTATACCGTAGTGTAAATTATAGTAACACTGGGTAAACAATAGAACACGTGCGTGATGCGATATGTCAACACCCGATATCGATACTTAACTTAACACATTTTTCTAAAAAAAAAGCCTATGATACAAAGACATTAATTAACTCACGGGAAAACACTGACATAAGATCAAACGACTTCAAGAAGGTCGTATATGAGGCGCATGGAATGCAGACTGATGTGTTTTGTATACTGACCTTACCAGTACGTATCACATGCTAACAGTAGTTCACACTCTCTTGGTCACTACGACTTTTGTTGTCGAGCGAGTTACGCTCCGTCAGTTAAATCTTTTCACAAATGCAATTACAATAACTCTGTGAACTTAGTGGTCTGTAAAATATCAAGTTCCTATAAAATTTAAGTGCATGTGTGCACGCGATAACAGCATACCATGCGATAGCCTATGCCCTTACAAATGTACCTGACATGTAAATATACCATGCGTGAGCGGGCTATGGAATGATGTCCAAAGTGTACATGATTGAGAGTAATTTTGTTCCATAAAAGAACAGTAAATTGACAATTAAATATTGTAATTTAATTCATTTCCGTCGTTTTTGGTATAGTAAAGAAGATAAGTGACATTGTATAAATTCTATCCCTCTGCAAAAAGCTCCGATTTTTTTCAAGGTACACAACTCTCATCAGGATCAAAATTATTGTAAAATGTAAAATAAATGAATTATAAAGACTTTGTGTGTATTTTGTTCAATTTTTCACCCTTTTTGTATGAAACTATGTGTCCTGTTTGCTTTTAGCTTGTAGATAGTAACTTTTGTCCATACAATTCCAATAAAAAACGCTTTTTGTAACATGTTGTAGATATTCAATGATAAATAAAATATTTGTAGGGTTAATATGCAATGTTTCTTTTCATTGTTTTATTGTTGTAATAGTTTTGAACAATGCCACACACTCAAAAAATGTGAAAGCGTTGAATTTGACAAAATTTCAATTTTTTGGTATTTTTTCACCAGTTAAATCATCTCTACATATTGACATAACCATTATATGAAACTTTCATTGAATTCTGCTGGCTAATTGCAAAAGGGTAGAGCCACCTTAAGGACGGCCTCCCCTGTATTCAAGATGCATGTATGCAGTGTATGTGTGTATGTTTTGGGAGGCTACGATATGTTCGTGTTTGTCTCCTTGTGATAGCGCGGAACTGATGCCGACTTTATAGTGCTACCTCACTGAAACATACTGCCGAAGACACCCAGCAGGACACAGAACCTCAAGAAGAGTTTAACATCACCAACTATACTGGTGTTTTTCAGTAAATGCTTATATACTGGTACCTTTGACTTTCTCTTGGTCTGGGTTGGGGTCAAACTCTGACACGAACTCCCCTAGGGTGTCCACCTTTCCCAAGCTCATTCTGTAGATACAAGATAAAGGAAATATGTAACATATAAACTTTACTTATTTTTACGAAGTAAGAAAGAAGATATTTCAACTTGCTGTTGGCCTGGATATTAGCAAAAAGGAATATTACTGTATTATCGAGCAATAAGCTCATGCCTGGTAATAAGTTATTATTAATAATTATTATTTAACTCTCCTGTTTTAATCACATCTTCCATTTGAGTTTGAGATTAAGCGTTTGGCCTTTTGGCTTATTGCAAGCAAGTATGGTATTCATAATGATTAACAGATCTTTAGGAGCAAAATCAATTTCTACAACTGTTTTACTCTGAGAGAAAAAAAGTTAACAAAATGTTTTATTATAGAGAAAACTATTTATATGGAAAACCTTGAAAACATGTTTATTAGGACTTTTCCAAAAACATATGTATATTTGTATAGTACCATAGCTAGTTGAGGGACATACTTTGTCATGTAAATATGTGCTGTCTAAATTTTTCGTGGATATACCCATATACTGCAAATTGGGATATTTTCAATGTGTGAATCTTTGTGTTTTGTGCAAGATTCAAATTCCCAAAAATAAAACACGTACAAATCTACCGACTGTAAACAGTAAGTGTCAAATAAGCTTTATCCTTGTATCAGGGCACCAGTTTTCCTGAACTGTTTTTACAAACGCTGGCAAGGTCTGGACCTGTCACAGTAATCTGGGGGGTTCTATCGTTGTGGTGCAGGGTGGATCACCAGTAAAAATAATCAGCTAGTCCTGGTCACTGAAGAAAAATGTGCTGACTCCGCACAAACATGTACAGATATTCTTGAGTGTACCCTTCCACCCTTTTTGAAGTGCATGCAATAGTAGAGTCTGATTCTGGCCGAACATGAAAATTTCATGACCAGTTTATTTTACAAATTTTCAACCCTGTACATGTGTCAACATATTTTTGCACATAGCCCTGATTCGGGAAGATACACAGGTAAAAATCAAACTACAGCTGTTTTTGAGAAATTCTCAAAAATTAACCTGCATACAAATATCCTGATTTACGGTAATACCAGGTATACAAAAGAAACTGGATTAAAATTGGGCGCCTATTAGAATGAAAAAATATGAGTTACACAGTAAAGTTGAACCGTTTTCGATTATCAAAGGACATTCTAAACATTCCAGTGTGGCTGGAGGTTTGGAAATCAAATGTTTTATCCGCTTTACAGCAAGTCCAGCTATGGTCACCAGACTTGTAAGTATTGTAAATATGTGCTTTAAAGTACTATAAAACATTGACCAGGCCCGGTAAGTACTCAGATGGGGTCAATACAATTTCAATTCATCTAAAAACAGAAAAAGGAAGGGCGCTCATTACAGCAAAT